CCAACTAGGTACAGCGACGGCATAAAATGCACGCCGAGAAGGAAGTTCAACGAGCATACGACGGATAGGACTTAGCCAACGTAAGTAGTTAAGCTTCAACATGCACTCCATTGATACAAACACTAGCTGGCGGACCTCAACACTGCTCGCCCGGTGTTCCCACAGAATGTAGACAATACTTCACAAGCACTGGTGATCGAAGCTAGCCAATCACTTAGTGTGTTCATTGCGAAGTGACCAGGTTCAGGAACCTAGCTTCGTTTCAACACAGTGATTTCATTTCGAATCTCTTCCGAAATAGGAGATTCAGATCTTTCAGCAAACGGCATTATCATAGAGGACCTCTTGAGCCACTTTTCAAAATAAGCTGATATATTGGTATTTTGTGTTCTGCGTTGAGATGCCGATTTGCTCGCCGAGATGGGAAGGCCACTCTCGCGATTTCACCATAAGTACCTGATCTGGAGTTGTATCCTATTCTGCGGCATCATTTTCCGTGTCACTTAGAGACTGTCTTCTCAACTGTTCGCAGCAATTCCCATTTGTTACCTTGTGTTGGTACAACCTTGTTAAGCTTGAGAATGACGCTTCGCTTCTAGAGCAAAGCACAGACTGGCAACAACATCAAGCAGCCACTCTGAATATGCAGTAGCGTATTTAGGATCGAAAAGTTCACCCTACCATATTGAATCATATAATATGTCCCTGCCATATTGAATCCAAAAACACTGAAGTTTACAGCTGCAGAATCGATAAAAATGGGCTGCTTTGAAATCCTTTCCTGATGGCTTCGAAAGCAATAGGGACTTTGGTAGCCTATTGATGACGCCTCTCTGCCCAACTGACTTGTGTAGAGTGATCTTAGGTTTGCCTATTGCAACCCCCATCGACTGGATGGTGCGGTATATTCTGGAAGAGATAGCTTACGTTCTCACTATAAAATGATTTTTCAACAATCCGATTAAATTGATAGCTGTCTGTGCGGGAAGTTAGTGGACAGGAATTCAACATCCAAGGAACACCTGACTTTGTCGGACGAATCCACCATCGTAGATAAATTGAGAAGAATCACTAAGGCTGTGCGGATTGATCCCTAGTATTATCGAAAAAGTCTATGCACAGCTAGTGCGTGTTAGTTTTCGAGAGAACTAACTTAGGCACTATTCCTCTATTCTTTGTTTTCCACAACCTGTACGGCTTTAAACTAATGTGCTATCATTCAATTTCAAACTATATTGAGTGTCACTATTTTTCACACGATGGAGAGGAAGCATATCTCACCATGACAGACTGCGCGGATTCCAACATCCCATCTTCTCGAATCGTTCAGCTTTGTTCCCGTCGTTTAATATGTCGCTCATTATTCGTATCTATTATGCATTGCTCATGATTACCGCTCTATTTGCTTTGACTAGCTTTAGTACAGCAGTGTTTTTAGTACGTAATTAAAGCAACACCCAAAGGTACCGGCCTGTCTAATCCCCATTCCACATACTGTCTGTTACACCATTTTGCATTTTTAACCTCAATTCCACGTCGCAGTTATAGTACTGCAATCAGCGCTAAAAAAAATTTCACTCTGGGTTCTGCGGTGAATGTTCAATCAGAGGGAATCCTGGTTACTAATGCCTTAAGTAACTGCTGTCACAAACTGATGGTACATTTTCGTTTGTACCGAAAGGCTTGCTACCGAGTTGTCTTCTGCAAGTTTGTTTGGAAGTTATAGCGCTATCAACCGTGCATGATTCCTTCTCCTTTCCTTTACGGTTGACTGAATACCGTCCCATCCAAATTTCACTCGCTGACCTTCGACGGATGCGCTGCTTTTCAAACGTGCTGCAAGCCATGAGGCATAGAAAAGAACCCATTCGCTTCGACTACATGGTCAATACGCTCCTCATTTCAGTGCACCTTTCCTGACTTCAGACTGCAGTCAAATCGAAAGATTGTCCACTGTGGACTTACATCTAGACAACCAAAATGGTGTAAACTCCCTTGATAATAACGGTGGACGGTTGCTACAGTTTTGGGAAGATACTCGCCCTTTTCTCACAAGCACTAAGTTCCAGCACATCACTCGCGGGAAGATGACATGACATTTACCATCCTCGGACCGACCATGTGCGCAAGTCGATCTCATCGTGATCAGTTACCGTTGGAAGGTTGACATTCAAAACTGCCGATCGATTTGGAGCACAAGTATGGACTCCGACCATGTATTTGTGTGTGCTGATCTCCGGGAACGTCTCGGTGGCTACACCGGATGCTCCGAATGCACGTCGAAACGCTTTGGTATTTGAGTTCAATGAGCGCTCACTGGTCACGTAATCGAAAGACTCTATTGACAGCAGGTATGTCTTCGTATTGCAAACCCGATTGCTTACTTAGGCGGTGGGTCGCTACGCAGTCTCTAAAACTTCTGACCTATCGCTTCCAAGTTACTTGCCTCTGTCGTTCTTTACAGATGGACCGGCTCCCGTAAGAGCTATATCCGTGGAGAACAAGCTCGATTTCGTCGAAATCATTTTTCGACAGCTAATGAAGGCCCGCTCATTTCGGTGACGCACCTTAGTCTTGTTTGTCGACATCAATGGATTGAATTGTCCTTGGAAATTGTTTGTTAAGGAATGATGTGTTCGAGAGACACGTAAACATCATTATAGTGTTTTATGCGCCTAGTTCTGGCAGAATGAGAGTTTATGGCAAACTGAAGCGGCCCTTTACTATCTCCAGCAACGTGAGATAGTGATGCCCGCTGTCACCCTTCCTTTTCAACTTATCTTTTGACGTATTTCTGAAAACTGCACTCACTACACACAACTTAGACCTTGAGTTGCTTCGATTTGGTCGACTTCTTGACTTGTGATCTGCCGACGATATTACCCTCATCTGTGATAGCTCCCAAACATGCCAAACAGCGCTGGACAGATTGGTACTGGTTGTCAATTGCTTCGGGTTGCGCCTTGCATCCCTTCGACCACGAACCGAAGATGTTTCTGTTTTGTGACCCATTGGTCACCGGTTCTAATCTGTGTAGGTGTGGGCAAATTTGCAGTATCATCAACCCATGCGCAACTGGTGATGGCATCATGGCAGCGATTCGTCCGTGTGACGCACTGGTGTGATGCTGACGCCCTTATTTTCTTTGCACTCTCAGAATGCGAAGCTTTTCTTCAAGTTTGCCAGAGACTACTACTTGAGCTGTCCCTTAATGCAGGCGTGCTAAATGTTGTTCAGACATTCAATAACCTTGGCAACTGTGCCAGCGCTTGTGTAGTAGAATATGGGATCACAAACCGCATAGCAAAATCGCTAGGTACTTTTAGTACTCTTCACCAGTTATGGCGCAGGCGCGAAATTACTCTTATTCTGAAGAGTAGAGTCTACGATTCTGCCATCCGTTCAACCCTCCTATACGATTGCGCAACTTGATACCTTTTATCGATAGATATATCTGGTGGGACCGTCACGCGAGTACTGATCACTTTGTTTGTGGTACAGGAAAAGAAAGTGAACTATTCGACACCTTAGTCTTACGCCCAGACTTCAATTGCTGTACCATGTATTCCGCATGTTCGCACGCTGACTCGCACGACGAGCGTTGTTTGCGCGAACGGGATCTCGATGGCAGAAGAGGAGATGGTGCTAGCCGATGATAGTCTAGAAGAACTTGATGTTTCTTCTGTAAGTTCGTCGCAGTTAGGTACAAGCAGACAGCCACCACACATCCAGGAAAGCGCTAGACGGTCTTTCGTCCTATTGGGACTCATCAGTAGCGCGCACTCGCCGAATCCTGTGGGATCCGAACCCACGACATTACTCTTGCGAGTCAGCGACTTATGTCACTGAGCCATGGGTGACGGCAGCGGACTGCCATGACTGATATCTAACTGCGATATAGCGCGGCTCATCCTCCACTGCCTTGCATGTTATGCATGTGCATAGGACAGGGCTGGCCCCCAGAGCAACGAATTCCTTTGCAAGCCGCCACCAATCGAGGTGGCATGTAAGCATCTATGACGGCTACTGACTATTTGTAAGTAGCAGGGGGATTTATTAGGTTTTTCTGTAGGTTGGTCGCAGTTAGACCAGGCAGACAGTCACCACACATCCAGGAAAGCGCTAGACGGCCGTTTCTTCCTACTGGGACTCGTCAGTAGCGCGCACCCGCCGGATCCGAACCCATGATTTTACTCTTGTGAATCAGCGACTTATGTCACTGAACCATGGGCGACGGCAGCGGACTGCCATGACTGTTATCTAACTGCGATATAGCGCGGCTCATCCTCCACTGTCTTGCATGTTATGCATGTGCAGAGGACAGGGCTTGCCCCCCGAGCAACGACTTCCTTTGCAAGCCGCCACCAATCGAGGTGGCATGTAAGCATCTATGACGACTACTGACTATTTGTAAGTAGCAGGGGGATTTATTAGGTTTTTCTGTAGGATACACTACTTGACATGGCGAAGAACCAGCCTCAACGTCGTTTGTGTTGTGAGTTTTCTTGTCTTTCCTCTTCTCTCCAGTTTGCCCTCCTCTTCGACAATGTTCTTCCCTTTAATACATAATAAACCATGCAAAGCATGTTATAGTTATTTTGCTTTTCCTTTCCTCTCCTTCTTTTGCAGCTCTATGATTCTGTTTTTCCGGCATACTAGCTGGGGCCTTTCTCAACTCTAGCAGGCGTGTATGATGATATACTTTTATTTCATTGTTCTTTAGATGCGATCACAAAAACACATCTATTGCATTTTTTTGCCGCTGAAGCAGTTTTTTCACATGGATGGTTCATATTTATATGTTGTCATTGGTTGCCCATCTAAGCGTTCCTCTATTTGGATTTCGTTTCTGTTCTTTTTCTCCATTTTCCTGTTTGGCATTTATATTGCTCTCCCGCCTATAAATCCCGTTTATAGTAAGCAGACTATTACTAGCTGCCGCGTCTTCTTGCTCCAACCTGCACTCATGTTTTTCCGTCCATCTGCTCTCTTTCATCCAGGATAGACATTGGTCCACTCGTGAATTCGGAGACCTGCTTCCTCTATTCCCAAATCTTACGCAGAGAATCGCTCCTTGGTCCATTCTTGAAGTCGGATGTGGTGTTGGGAACTTCTTGATACCCCTTTTGGAAGATCTGCTTCTCGACGGAAGACAATCCACGTCACTTGCAGATGTTGACCTATCCAGTGAGTTCTATTGGGAGTCGACTCTATTTTCTTGCATTGGCTTAAGATGACATAAAAAGTACGGTTTGCCCAAACTGATGCTGCATAGTGCTTTCATTTTCTCATCTCCTGCTTATCACCCAGAAAGATAAGTCATTGTGCATAAACTTTCACTACATCCATGACTTTGCACTGTGAACTACTTTAGTTGTGTGTACGAACAATCTCGAGGCATCTCGTTAGTAGACAAAATTCGAGCTAGCAAGCCAGTTTTTAAGACTTGGGAGTTTTGACTTTCAGTGCTGAATGGAAATTGCTAGGTTCCACGCGCTTTGGTTCCCTTCGGTTTCCTATATTTGTGATGTATCTCCTCAATACCAATCGTTATGATGGCAGCAGCCCGGCGGATGTCAGGCGATTGGCAATATGTCAACATTTTCTAGAATGGCAGTAAAAATCCTATTGAATGATTAACAGTCAACGAAAGCGAACTTGTTTACATTAATTTCTCTTCAGGTTTGTGAAGTTACATATAGGAAAAGCGTTAATTGGTACAACACATTGGTCGATGAAATACCTTCAATCTATAATCAGCAATCGCTGATCATCCCTGTCCTTTAAGTCACAGCTGGGGTGTACACACTGTTTCTTGAGTCAAACCTCACAGTTCGATTGGACCAAGGCAGGCTTAACATCTGAGCGAATCTCTTGCGAACGCACATCTCCGGCTCGAGATTCAAGCGAATGCCTAGGGACGCACTTTGATCGATTGTCAGATGCCTGATAATTGACACTGAACGACTCAACCAACTTGGTCGCATAGCTCGCGTCGCCGAGGTGCTTGACCATAGAAGAGTTGGTTCGCTTTCTCCATCAGGTTCATCTTTCACAGTTATTGCTCCACTCACTTGGTTTATGCATCGAAAGAATTTAGATGCTGCTTATTTTTTTAACTTTGGCACGCCACCCACCAACCTCTGTGGGTGCAGGCGGCCTCTAACTATGCCGACCCGCATAAAAGCGGTCGTAACTGCGTTGCAGCTAAAGATCGTTACGGGGTCACAATATGCGGGGTAATGGCTGATTATGACGTGGTACAGTAAAAGCTGTTAGGATGTTGTCTTGCCGATGCTGCCTTATCTTTGCACGATAGCCAGCTGTTCCTGATCGTGTGTTGTTGATAAAGTATAGGCGCCCTGCTCCTGAAGATTTACTTAGGGTGTTTTGCGTTTTATCCTCGTTCTCTCTTGTTACTCTTTGTTTTGTGCGTCATTATGGTTGTACAGCAACGAAACATCATTTCAAACGACTGTTGTACTGCTGTTGATGAGGACGATGATGTTAGTCGCGGTTGTCGACCGCGAAATACCCAATTTTTAAAGGCAATCATTTTGAAATACGGTTAATGAAGTCATCGCGGGAGGTCGATTGTTGTAAAATAACCATGGAAACGGTAAAGTGTTCGGACTGTGTTGCTTTGTCAAGACATAATATGGTGTTAAAATTATGCTTCTGTTCACATATGTTGCCACACCTATCGGATCACCTCATCGTGATAGCCATAGCCGTGGGGTTTTCGGTAACACTAGTAGGCGGCCGAATTAGAGCAGCTATGCACACACATTCGCTCCCGCTACTCATACCGGTGCGAATTGAGTGAACTCTGTCGCTAGCTTTCCGCCCCTCCCATCGCACCATCACATTGGTCCACTAGTATGTGGCTGTCTCTCATCTGTGACAATACATAGAAACTCGTTCCCTCATTTTGGCTTCTGTGAGGAGATAGGCTAAAAACACACGGTTTATTTGAAGAGTGCTCTCCTATTGCGTTCGATTAGTGTAATTGTACATCTCATTCTTGCCTGTACTCTGATTGCCTGAACATTCATCCTTTTCTTATGTGCTAGTTTTGTTGGCCTTCATTTCCGTCTTTTCACCACTCACTGGCAATACGCAAGACTCTAGGCACTTCGCCTTTTGTCATCTCTGATGTTATCTTTTCCTTCGAACTCATCGTTGGATATTTGATAGGACATGTTTGCTACAGTCAGTTTATAGCACTAGGCAACATTTACCACGGGTTGAACATCAAATAGCGCCCGACTTCGCCACTCACTGCATCGATATTTGCGAGGCTGCAGCGCGAAGTGTCATCGCGATGTTCTTGCTGCGCTTGCCATCATCTTACTCGTACATGAATGAGTTCGAACTTATGTCGAATGTGATTTCATTGTCCTCTTAATGAATACGCATTATTTTAACCATCACCCGACTATTTTTCCTTTGCAGTGATACACGTTTTTGCTTGTGATATTTCCATACGCGCCATATCCCTGCTCCGCGAACGTGCTGCCGAGTGTTCCCTGCCATGCACAGCCTTCGTTTGTGACGTCTGTCAGCCGGATTCTCTGAAAACTTCCCTACTTCAAAGTCAGTCCGACTCATCCCATTCGTTGTCCCAAGTCGATGTGGTCACCTTAATCTTCGTCCTTTCCGCAGTCAGTCCATGGAATATGGTCACCTTTTTAAAAAACATTGTCAGGTGAGTCCCGTATGATTTCCACTGCATGCAACCCTTACACATCGAAATCCCGGCGGTGCAAGGAACGACATTACCTCAGGAACTGTTCTCACCTCTAGTATCTCTCTTCTTTTACTGTCGCGGTTTGCGGCTTTTTCTTGAAATTTTCCCACAGTTTATCACACTCTTTGTGAAATTATGGTCCCATTTCCATCGACTTGTCACTCCGTTGTTCGATCACCCATTCATGCGGTTTTATGTTTGACCTCTCACTCCACGTGAATTACGGATGTACATTGTGGCGTCAAGATGACACTTTATGCGCAACCGTGTCAACGTTTTACCAGTCGCACCAGCGTTTCACCGCAGACAATACACCAATTGCTCAGCTAGTTGCTTAGCCGTGGTTCGGCGTTAATTCTTATGAACGATAGCTTGTGCATTTTGCGTTATCTGTTGTGTATCTTGTTCTGAACACGCATGTGACAGTTGTCCATTGCACACTCACTGATCTTTCTGTTTGTTTCTTTTTACTCCACACCTCTAACCTTCAAGTGTGCTCAAACCCGGTGGACGCGTACTTTTACGGGACTACGGTTTACACGACCATGCTCAACTTCGCTTTGGTCGGGGCACCCGCTTTCTACCGGAAGTACCTGCGTATGCACGTCAAGATGGTACTCTCACGTATTATTTCTCGGTTGAAGAACTGAATGACCTATTATTGACATCCGGACTCCACACTCTACGCTGCGAGTACATTTACCGACAGCTGAATAACGTAGCCGAGGGTATTTCTGTCCAACGGGTCTTTGTACAAGCTGTCGCAGAGCGTCCCCTATAAATATTCCCACCTTCCCAACCTTGTACTCTCCAATTACAAATTTTTTATACATACTTCTAAAGCATTTACATTCCGGTGTTCACCATCTTGTATGGCATTTGGAATGTAATTATACACCCATCCTATCCGTTGCCCCTGCGTCCTTCACTCGCCAATTTATGAGTAGATTTGTTAATCTACTTTAGGTCACGTGACGGTTCCTCATTTCTAATTATGTGGGGCGCCTGTCGAATCTTACAAGTTTAGGGCGCGGCGACAGTTGATACTATCCCCATTATATTTCCCCGCCGCGGCACGTTTGCTTTATCCAGTTTCCGACAACGTCTGGAATGGCTCATTTCTTCTTACATAACCCAAATCGTTTCAGCTAATATGGTCGCTGATGAGTGGCGCATTCAAGGCTGTGCACATCAATCTGCTCAGAGGTCAGACACTAGCCAAACTCAGGTTCATCGATCTTCAACTCGGAGATCACAAATTGTTACATTAAGTCCGCAGTGGGAGGGAACAGCCTACCAAATAGGCTTGTGGAGTTCGCACAGTTGGCTTAGGACACGAACCCCACTGGTCATCTGTGACGGCGGTTTATCTCGACATAGTTGCTGATGGAAGAGTATTTCTGTCTGAAACTTGCTTGCAAAGTAACTCCAGCTTTTGGTCTGCAACTCCTGAGCTTGACCCGCTGTTGTTCATGGGCATCGATATTTCACAATGGCTGTCCAAGGAGGATCAGTCACATGCTATTTTGCCTGATCCGAGACAATCCCCTTTGTTAAATATGTTAACATTAATGATCGTCATGTGCAGCGATACCCCACAACTAGAGACGTGGAGCCAGGCATTTTGATGAACAGTTAGACGTGCCTACCGTGTCATCCTCATTCTTTGGGTCATCGAACTTAGTTTAGATGTCGACATAATGGTCCGCAACAGTCATCGCATAAGATTTGAACGAACGCTGCTAAAACGTAACATTGCGACATACTCTGTTATTTTCACCGTGGCTAACATAAGACGACGATGCAGCGGCGGCCAATCCGACCACCCCTTCAATTGATGGTTGCGCACCACAGCTCTCATCATCTGTTGTGTCGGAACCCCGGGGCTGCTTCCACTCACTAACGGTAATGAAAATATGAACGATCACAGACAAAGATTCAAGGGTTTTGTAGCATGACGCACAAGTGTGAAACCCAACTAGCCAATAAAGTTGGTGGCATGATACGTTCAAACAAACGTCAGTGAACCACCAGGGCAAAACTAAAGTCTGCGGTCATGAACGGTTACGGAAGCACACCTGCTTTTTTATTGCTCCTCTAACATCATCGTAGAACCGTAAGCGACTCCTGAGAAATGTCTGAAACTTGGCACCACATTGCTTATCTCCGAACTCCTCACATGTATCGTACTTCGACTGTCCACTCCGGAGTTGTCTTAGTGAAAGATCACCATAAAGCTGCCCGCTTGGGTCATTAAGCGGGGTGAACACGCCTTCGGAAACAAACAAGCCATTAGTTCAGCGCCAGACCAACTTAGTCTTTAAGTCCTCTTCGGCATTTGGACGGAGGTCGATGGTCATCTTTCTTTAAAACAGCCAGAGCAGACAATTTGTGACGAGTTATACGTTCGTATCCCAATCGGCGTAAAGCACGAACGCTACGTATTGTCTCTGGTGGTGTGAGAGCACCACCGGCCTCAAGCCAAACGATTCTTGGTAAAGTTGGTGCCACCTACGGTTGACCGTGGTCGCATGTGGGCAACATAGTTTGCGGCATCCGGATTCGGCTGTCACTGCGGCCTCCATAGGACAGTCCCAAGACTTCTGCGCCTACAGAGAGACCATGGGTGACTTGTGCCGCACTACCTACAGCTCCATCCGCACATATTACGGTCGTAAAGTACATGTGAATGGTTTTAAATCCTTAGAGGCTGCCTGTAACTGGCCTCAAGCTAATCCAAGTGGGTCTCTACAATCACACTCCCGATCTGCACTTGTTGCAGGTCAGGCTATTGAGCCAAATGCTCCGGGTGCAGTCCCTCAAAAAAACCTCCATGTACCACACTACCTTGTTGGTTGAACTGTGGAGTCAACGGCTAGGGGTAGGGCACCTTGGATAAAATCCTTCTATCTGAGTGGGCAGCCGGTGAGTATCATCTGCCCTCACGAAGTCGTGGACAATACTCATTCTCCTCTCTTCTTTCTCGTATATTGAATATGAGACTGCCGCTAACCTCGCATCTGTTACCCCGGACAGATGTAACTCGTCCCTCAAACCAAGCGCCTCATTTCACCTTGCTTTGTGGTGAATGATTCCCGATTTAGACGGTCTAGTAAACAAGCTGGTTTTTAGTAATTCATCGTCAGGACGGATACAACACATTTATATGGTTAACTCTATCGCAATGAGGCTGGACTTCGCCGTAATGCGATGGTTTGCGTGCCTCAAAAATCCATTGAGCTATGCTGGATGGTGCTTTTTGCACCTTCAGAGCCAATCATACCAGATTGGTCTATGGTTAAAGGCCAGATAAACTCAGTCTCCTGTCCCTTCAGGTTGGGAGTTGGAGTGAGAGTGGCTCCTTACTCCATAAAAAGGGCTCACTGTAGTTCAGTGCCAAACGCCGCTGCCTTGCGGTAAGGCTTTTGTACCAAAGACTTTGGTTGAGGACCCTAATCGTTCTTCTGTTAAGGCCTGGGCAACCTGACAGTATTCTGCCCACGCAATACCATGAACCTTTCTTCTAACAATTTCTTGATGCTCTGGCCGTCGCAGAGGATAATTAATAGCGCCCTATCTACTGCATCGAACACGGTGGATATGGGTTTGGATGCTACTGCTCAGGCCTCCAAGTTTTCTTATCCCCCTTTTTACGCCTTTTCATCCTTGTCGTCCCGTTCCAACTTTACTTTTATCCCCCCCCCCCAATTCTTGGCCCTCCCCAACTTTGCTTCAATAGTCGCTTGTCTTCTGGTTTCAACTCACACACACTCACAGGGCGTCGCTCCAATCCAGTCGACAAATCCATGTTTAACCAAGCGGACAACCTCTGTTATCCGCTTCCCTTTGGAGTCCTCGCGTCTCGCTGAGACTGGCATGCCTCAACGTACGCACTTTGCTACAGATTGGCCAACAGGCAGCACTTGCCTGCACACTAGAGACCCTATCGATCGATATTTGTTGTTTATCAGAAACCCGCCTGCAAGATTCGAGCTCCGTGGTTACCCTGCGATCTCCCACATGCGACACTGGCGGCACATTCTCATTTACGCCTATCTGGGGATGATGCAGCTTCAACTGCCGGTCAACCTGGCGTCGGCATTGTTTGGAGTCCCCGGGCTGAAGCTGCCCTGATCGAGTTGCTCTCTGTCAACAGCCGGAGTGGCGCCATTAGGTTGGCCGGCAACGAAATCGCGCGGGGACAAACGGTGCCTGTTTGTCATTGCGGCCTACGCCCCTACAAATTATAGCACCGAGCCGGTAAAATATGATTTCTATCAGCAATTTCACGATCTCCCTCGTTACAGAAGAAGAACGGATACTGTGGTGTTGGCTGGCGATCTAAACGCCCAAGTCGGAAAATTGTCCTCTGATGAGCTTCATCTGGGCGGCAAATATGGTGTAGACTCCCGTAATGATAACGGTGAGCGATTGCTACAGCTGTGTGAAGATGCTCGTCTCTTTCTCGGTAGCATAAACTTTCGATACAGCACCCGCAGAAGCGTGACTTGGCGGCCACCAGCCTCGGGCCAGCCATGGACGCAAATCGATCATATCGCGATCAGTTACCGCTGAAAGGCTGTATCCAAAACTCGCTCGATTTGAAGCACGAGCGTAGATTCTGATTCCGACATCCGGGTGCGTTTCGGTGGACGTCCAAAACGTCGATGTGAACGGATTGACACTAGCCAGCTGGCGAAGCTAGGTGTTCTGAATGTGTATTAAAGTGCGCTGACATCCGGGCTGAGTAAGCGCCCACTGAACACCGTCGAAGATCACTGGTCGCATATTCGTCAAACGTTACTATCAGCAGGCATGTCTTCATGTGGCAAATCAAATAGCCAAACTGGACATTGGGTCTCTACACAGTCTCTGGAACTTATGGATGCTCGCCGACGTATTCCGGCTGGAAGCGAATACAATGAGGCTCGCAAAAATCTCAGGACAAAACTACGTGCTAGCCTGAAGAAAGACCTGCAAGCCTGGTGGTCTCATCGTGCCTCTGAGATGGAAACAGCCGCTACCGTTGGTAATAATCGTAAGTTATTCCGTCTGATACGGGAAACAGGCAGCAGGAGACCTGGTGTTAGCGAGACCATACGCGACGAGAGTGGGCAGCCGATCCACAGCCTGTCAAAACGCTTGGAGCGTTGGGCGGAACCCTCTGCAAGGCAATTTAACCAACCTGAGTTATTGGTTTCTTTTTCGGGTATTGTGCGCCTTTCTCCATTGGCCGTCTTCTTGAATCCGCCCTCACGCGCAAAAGTCAAACGTGAAATCAGGCTGTTGGAATTGCATAAGACCGCACGATCAAATGGAATTCCCCACATCCTCTTCAAATTCGGGAGACCTACTCTAAAACATGGTTTACACGAGTTGCTAGTGAAACTTGGGAGCAGGAGACTGTCTTGACAGACTGGAGCCGCTCCGTCATTGTCCCAATTTTCAAGGGGGGCATTCGTTCGGAATGCGGCAGTCATAGAGGGATCAGTCTGATTTCGATTGCCTCTAAATTACTTGTGTCTGTCATTCTCCACAGACTGACTGGCACTCGTAAAAGCCAGTTTCGTGAATAGCAAGCCGGGTTTCGTCGAGGTCAGGGCTGCATCGACCGCATCTTTACCTTACGTCAATTATTGGAGCACTGCCATGTTTATTGGCGACCCACCGTTGTCGTGTTTCTTGACATAAAAGGTGCCTTCGACTCAGTCGATCGACGTACCTTATGGGACTGTCTGCTGAGGAAAGGTGTGCCTGATAAATACGTAAACATTATCAAAG